TGTTAAGTGAACTCAGCATTCCAGGGTCTGTGGATCTGACAGGCAAGTATATTTGTGTGTCATCAGTATAAATATGAAAAGAAATGCCATGTTTATGGATAATATGTCCAAGGGGAAGCAGATACAAGGAAAACAAAATGGGTCCTATGACCGACCCCTGAGGCACACCATATTTAACTGGACAGAACAAAGAGACATAGTTGTTTACAGACACGCAAAACTTCCTATTTGACAGGTAGGATGAAAGCCATTCTAGGGCAGTACCAGAGATCCCCACCCAGTGACTCAGTCTGTCTAACATGATGTTGTGATCAATGGTGTCAAAAGCAGCGCTAAGGTCCAGGAGTACCAGGACTGAGCACATGCCTTCATCAGCAGACATTAAAAGGTCATTGGTCGCAGTCTCAATGCTGTGGTACTTCCTGAAACCAGATTGAAACTTTTCAAATATTTTGTTATTTTCCAGTACAGTGAGCAGCTGTTTGGACACAATTCTTTCTAGAATCTTTGCAATAAAATGCAGTTTTGAAATTGGTCTAAAATTACGTGGGAGGGATCTAAACCAAGTTTCTTTAAAAGTGGGATCACGCAAGCCGTTTTAAAATAATCAGGGACACAACCAATAGATAGGGAGCTGTTGACAACAGAGATCAAATGGGGCCCAACAGAATCTATTACTTTCAGTAAAAACTTTGTAGGTATTACATCAAGTGGGCTGGAGGACACTCTCATTTGTGATACTGTTTTTAAAAGCTCAGACAAGTTGATGGGATAAAACTGGTTAAAACTCTCTTGTTGCTGGTGAGGAACCTCTGAGTAAGAGGCCACGGGGGTAATAGAGGCTCTGATTGACACCACCTTATTGGTAAAATAAGATAAAAACAATTCACAGTCATCATTACTTCCAGCTGAGGCACAAGGAGGGGTTGGGTTTACCAGCTGATCCACAGTCTTAAACAGAAACCTGGGATTGTGTTTATGTGTAGTAATGAGTTCAGAAAAATAGTGTGTTCTCGCATCCTTAACCATTTTATTGTAGTTAATTAATAAATCCTTCAGACTGAGGTAATGGACTTGGAGACTGGATTTTTTCCATCTGCGCTCTGCTTTCCTGCATTCCCTTTTTAGGCTGCGAATGCTGTCATTTATCCAGGGTTGCTTACTAGCTTTAGACGTAGGTCAAACCTTTAGAGGAGCAGTAATATTTAGTGATGACAAGCAGATATGATTGAAGTGATCGACCAGATTGTTGGTGTTGGAATCAGACAGGTGTTGGCTTTGGCTCTGAAAGAATGCGCAAAACTTTGAAACACTTTGTTCATTAAAAATGCGAGAACACACAGAGCTTGGTGAGGCGGCATGAGTAACAGGCGAATCACAGCTAAAAACAATACATCTGTGGTCAGATATGGTCATGTCCACTAATTCCACAGAGGAAATGCTGACACCCAGGGTAAAAACCAAGTCCAGTGTATGACCACGGTTATATGTTTGCCCTTTGACATGTTGTTTGAAGTTAAAAGAAGTGCCCATATTTAAAAAGTCAGTTGCATTAACATTGGTGGGGTCATCAACATGAATATTAAAATCGCCACAAAGAACAATTCTGTCATAATTTAAAACCAGAGTAGCTAAAAATTCATGAAGTTCTGATAAAAATCCTCCAGGCGGTTTTGGGGGGCGATAAATTATAACAAATATGATAGGTTGCAGCCCTCCAACTTTAAGAGTGAAAACTTCAAAGGAGTTAAATTCATCACAGCGTACTTGATGACATTTTAAATATTTCCTATACACGCTCACTAGCCCACCACCACGACCACTGACCCTCGGTTGACTAAAACAACCATATTGAGGCGGACACAGTTCAGCTAGCTGGCTATAGTCATTCATTTGCAACCAGGATTCAGTTAAAAACATAAAATCTAGATTTGCAGACAAGATAAAATCATTTAAGATAAAAGTCTTACTTGAAAGTGATCTCACATTGAAGAGAGCCATTAATACCAGAAGCAACAGAGTCACCAGACTTGACATTCTTACTGGTCTCATCAAGATAATCTCTCTCATGCAAGTAGGCTACACTTAATCAAGCACATTAAAGAGCAATGTATTCTCATGGCCATAAACCTTCATCGTATGAAACAATATGGAGAGAGACAGCTGTTAATACCAGACAGTTTCTATTTGGGTCAAACAACAACAAAATCATCACAATTAATGTTTTTTTAAGTTTCATCTACAACTTTGAAAATATTTTTAGGGAAATTCCGGTTTTGATCCAGTCTTCAGATACTTTCACATATAAAAACAGCACAGAGTCTACATTTGGTAAAAAATTAATAAAAAATTTACATTAGGCTATATCAGGAAGTTACCTAAAATATTTATTCTCTTTTTCCTCAGTCTTTAACAGATAACAAAACAGCATGCAATGTCTGAGGCAAATGATCCATTATCCACTTACTTTAGCACGCTTTATTTTTATTTTTCAAACTTGGATGAGAGTCCTTTCTAAAACCACATTTTTTTCTGATTCAATCAGGAAGCTGTCAGATAATGAAAGAGGGAAAATGTAAGGGGGAACAAGTTTTTGTAGGCTACTTGATTCTCAAAATGTCAAAACTTTTCCATCTTTTTCAATGTTATTGGATTTAAAGTGAAAACCCCTGCAGATAATGTACATTTTAAATTTTTTTGTTTGCCTTTTATTTTCCTGAAACCCTTTATCAGACTTGGATTTCTGTTTTCACTGCTTATGTAAAGTAAAAGAAGTATCCTACATTTAAGTCACACATGTATGAGTCTGTGGTATTAATAATAATAATAATATTCATGTCATGATCATTTCCTTGGCTACAGATGTTCTTGCCTTACCTTGAATCAAAAGAGGGCATTTCTCTATTGTGTTACCATACAATATTATCACATAACTTTATTAAGTGACATTTTGTTTCTGAAATGCTCATAATGTCAGATTGTATTATTTTTTAAATTAATTAATGACTTAATTGCTGAGGCAGCTAAGTCTTTCAGTAGAGATGTAGCCCCTGGCTCACATGAATACACACGAATTTCATTAAAATACCTCTAAAATAATAATCTGTTCATTAATTATAACGTATTATCAGCACATTTAAACACATCTTAAATACTGACTAAGTCTTCATGACATTCTGGTAAATTCGGCATGTACCTACAAGTGGTTACCTACTGTATCATCGTTAAATCTTTACTTTTGTAACAGTTTCTCCCTACTGTCTTTGCACTCCTCGACAGCACCACAGATATTAGCAGCTCTAGAAGCAGATGCTTTTCACCTGATGTGGACGAACACAGCTGTGGCTAATAAAATTAGGTGAATAATGGCACCGTTTGACTCAAGGTGTGCCAAATTAACCACTATTTATTCACTGACAAAAACGTCCCGGACAAAGCAGTATCCCCCTGTTAATGCTCAATTGCAAAGTAGCTAAATCAAAGGTTCTGGCTGCTATGATGTTATTAGCTGCAGCTGTGCTTAACTAATGACAGGTCTATGAAAAGGGTCAGTTGAACTAAAGGATATGGAATTATGAATTGAGTTTGGTGTGAGGGGTCTTGTCAAGAGAAACTATTAAGATTGGCCTAATGTTTGGAGCTGGATTCTATTTAATAGCTTCTTGGGGTCCATAGTGAAAGTTTAATAGAAGTGGTTTCAAAGTTTTTCTAATAATTGCAAATGTTGTCTGACAAAGATAATTATAATAGACAGCCTATATGAAATGTTTTAAAAAGATAAGATAAGACCTCCATAAACCAAATAAGTTATGACACTTGTCCTTTCACAGTCTATGAATTTCAATTAGGGCATGTTTCGTCAGCCTACCATGAAAATAGCTTCACCCAAAAGCAATACATGCTAAAAGGTCATCTTTTGGTTCAGCTAATAAAATCATTTAAACTGATTTTAAAAAATATATTAAGCTTTGTGGTTTTACTTCAAGTGGATGTAAAAACAAAAAGAGATGGCTGAAGTGATAGACTTTGAAATTTCCATTGCAAATTCTTGAAAGCTAATTTGAAAATTTGTTCTATTTCTAATTATTTCTGTGACCCCTAGTGCCAATCCTCAAGGACTGTGTGAGGAGAACGGATGTGACAGATTGTGAGTTAAAATTAAGCTTCCACAACACATGGGGAAAAATAGTTATGTAGTGATGTGCCCCAAAGTGGTTGTCAAGTTATTTGAAACCCACATAAAAAGATTGGTATTTTTATTAAAGCAAAACAAGACACGGTAAGAGTTGCAATGTAAGTGCTGTGAAAAGAAGAGAAAGCGTTGCTCCATAAGTCCACAGTTTCAAAAATCTATTAAACCTTAAAGCTGACTTTAAATAAATAAAATGAATAAATATTCAAAACATCTCCATAATAGGAAATGACCTTATGAAGCTTTAATTAAAGTCTAAGCGTGTGCAAATATTGGATAATGCAACAACTTATAATGTATTATCATGATTATTAACTTCATTTTCTGAAAAGAAAGCTTAATGTTAGTCATATCTCCTAAAAAGTGATAACTCTGTTTTTGTAGTAATGCTATTAATATCTATTTTTGTTTAAAAATGATAGAAAAGCAGGTTGTTATATGGTCATGGTTATATTTGGTTATAGTTTAGTGAAGATTTTTGGAGTCCCACTTACTTAACTGCAATAAAACCAAAAAGTTTAAGTCCACAAGATCAATTATTATTTGTATATGTAGTGTGACATTTACTTACATCCAAATATTCAATGCATGTTCCCAAAGAAATTAATCTAGACTTCCATAAAACTTGACACTGTGATATCTAGTGTCCTGATGTGTTCATTGTCAGGCACGTCTGGATATTTGCATAATCATTTTGTTTTTTAATTTTAACTCCTTAAAAAGGACATTTTAGTGTTTTTGTATTTAGTTTTAAATAAGTTGTTACTTACCTGCCGGTGGAGAACTTTTTCAGTAAATGCTCACTCACTTTTTAAGAAGTCACCGTGCTTGCCGGGGAATAAACTCCACGCATTGGTGAAAACGAGTGAATCCAGCCTGAGAGAATATGAATTTTCCGGCGTTTCCCTGTGTAACTAAAACAGCACACTGGCGGAACGAGCAGGGAGGCATGAAGACAAGGAGTGATGAGGACAGACTGCTGCTGCCTGCTGAGTAAAGAGCAGAAAAATGACACATGCAGAGAGGGAGGGAGGGAGGAAGAGAGGGAGGGAGGGTTTGGGAGGGAAACCTGAAGACAGATTGACAAACATGAATTAGCCTACATTTATTTCCGACTTCAAATAATAATCTTTATGCTCTCCAGCAGAGTAAATTGTTTCAAATCAATAAAAATACAAAGTATGTGGGTATGAAGAGCTACTTCTTTATTCTAGAAAGCTGTACACTAAATGAATAATGTGATCACAGATTTAGAAATGATAATTAATTTTCCAGATGTCACTACAGCAGAGTACAGGAGGACCAGAGGAATGAGAGGGGTTAGAAAGGATGATTTATGTTGGAAGCTACAGGTCTTTGTAGATACTGTGATGCTTTGTGTAGGGACCTCAGCACTGAGGAGACACATTTTTAAAAGTTACAAATGATCAGAGTGGACATAATAGAGAAGCTGATAGTCTGCCCTCTACTGGGGGTTAAAAAACAATCTCAAAGTAAATGATTGAAAAGGACAAAAATAAGCTCTAGGGAACTTTTTGACCCGAGTTGAACCTTCCTGACAAAAATGCTCTTTCAATGCAATTTGTAATTTTAGCCCTATACTATTATAATGAGCAGGTTTAGGGGTGTACACTAACACTTAAGAAGTCCTTTAAAATGTTTTTGCTCTATTTAGATGGACTGAGGCAGCATTTAAGATTGGACTTCTTGATTCTTTGGTTGATTTTTAAAGTTGTGATTGAGTCCAATGTGTGACTTTACTTGTCCCAGGGGTTAGATCTGAGTGAGTCATCATTATCTATTTATCTGCTTGCTTATATTGGTCTGTTCACGGGGAGCCCATGCAAAAGAGAGCGAACCGTGCTGTATAAAGCAAAAAGTTTTCTTGAACCTGCATTTCAAGCAGATTTAGTGACACAGAACATGTCAATTTTCATACATGGACATCAGACTTAGGAAGTTTACATGACAATACTTACAGTACCACCCCAGTCACAGCCTGTTCACCCTGCTGCCTTCTGGGAAGAGATGTAGAAGTTTCAGTTGCCGCACCACCAGATTGCAGAGCAGCTTTTTCCCCCAAGCTATCAGACTTTTAAACTCAAATTCATCCTCCGCACCGCTCCATTGATAATAGTTTATTTCTGTTTACCATTTTTATTGCTATACTGCATATTAATTGCTTCTGTATTAATGTGTATTGTCTGCTATGTAGCAGAAGGGAAACAGGAAACTCCATTTCACTCTATAACCTGTTGTATTGTGACAAATAAATGTACCTACTTACCTACCTACTTTTATGGACATGAGAAAACAGTTTTTTAATGCACAATTAAAACAATCCTGGCCTGTAAAGTTGATCAGATTTCCATTTGTCTTACTTTTCATTAAAATAATAACACCGCTTATTACATTTGGAGTCACTAATATCTTAGAATATCCAAGTGAAGCCTATATTTTCATGGTTTTATGGTTATATTTTCTAATGTGAAGCCTTGTAGTGTCTGTACATGATGCAGATAATCTGGAGAAAATAATCTGGATAAGTACAGTTCTGAGAGTTAGTCTGCTGTACCGTGTGTAGCTGTTGGCTGAAAGATAGATTTTCAGGACAGCCTAACGATGTTGGTGTCGCTCTCAATGTTTGATACAGAAAAAGTTTGAGGTAAAAAAGAGAAGAGAAAGAAGAAACAAAGAATTCTCTGATTAATAATAATAAGATGTTCAGAGGGTGGCACGGTGTTCCAGTGGATAGTGTTGTGGTCTCACAGGAAGAAGGTTGCTGGTTGCCCCGGCCTTTCTGTGTGGATTTTGCATGTTCTCCCTGTGTCTGCGTGGATTCTCTCTGGGTTCTCCGGCTTCCTCCCACTGTCCAAAGACATGTGGCCTAGGTTGATTAGTGACCCTAATTTGTCCTTAGTGTATCCCGCCTTTCGCCCAGTGTCAGCTGGGTTTGGCTCCAACCCCCTGCGACCCTGTACGCAGGATAAGTGGTTGACAATGGAAGATATTTGGCCCTCTGATGTTAAACATTTACAGTTCTGCATTTCTGAATGTAAATTCAGAAGTGGGTGTAATTTGCTCTCCTAAATCAGATTTAAATCTTAAAATGACTTTACCTCAAAATTCTTATTTTTTCAGTCACTTAGACAGTTCACCAGAAGCTCACTGTAGTCCTCGGTTGGATTCAAACTATAAAGACGCCTTATTTATGATTGTAATCTTGAATTATAGACTTGTCATTGTCCTTATGAGGAGACAAATGTAAAAAAACTTTAAAAAACATTTGTCTGTAGTTTCCTGAGAATTTATTTCATAAATTCTGCCCGTCCATCACTTATATGTTGGTTAGTGTGTCTCTCCAAATAGCAGCACTAGTGTTCACCGGCAGTGGTCAGCTTTTTCTATGATTTATTCGACATGGAAGAATAGTCACCTATCATTACCACTCAGCCTGTCTGCCTTCCTGCCGCTCCTCCTCCTCTGTGGTTTGTGTGTGTGTGCGCCAACACTTGTCTGTCCTACATCATCTTAAGTATCTCTGACAGCTCACCGCGAGTCTCACACCATGAGCAAGAGGTGTGTGTGTGTGTGTGTGTGTGCATGTGTGGTGGTATTCGTAGCAATTAAAGAGTGCCTTCACAAGGCTCCAATGAAAACAAGCCAGCTTTTATCACCTGTAACAGCAAATATTGATGTGAAGAATGTGTTTATGGTCTTTATGTGTAATTAAGGTGTTTCAGATTTACTTACATAGCATTCAGAGTGTGGTTGTGGTGGACAGAAAGCTATACTGAAACAGAGGAAATAATTATTTGTACAGAATCTGGACTTTCTGAAAAGTTCTGAATTACTGTTAAATAACCCACCTTTGAAATAACATTGACTTCTTTATTGGGATAAAATGTTTTTTTTTCTCTCTTTTGCTATAGGTGTACGTTTATGTGTATAAAGGGTTTTATGTTTGACTTTCTTCAACTGATTTTGTTCAGTTTCTTTGTGTATGAAATGTGTCTCACCAATCGGATTTCGCCCTGCTGCTTTCATGATCAGTAAATTGTTAATTGTTTTCCAGAAGAATCAGTTAATCGTTTGGTAGATTATGTGATGGACAAAGGTAAAGTCGTCAAATATCTGTACAACCAACAAAAAAACAAAGATATTCAACTTAGTATGATGTTAAAACAAGCAAAAGAAGCATATTCTGACATATTATTGGGTTTTTTTGTTTTAAGTGAGCGGTATAAAAATAATTGGTGATTAATTTTTTTGTTGATCGTTGCAGCTGTAATCTTCTATATACCTTGTTTTTCACTGTTGCAGTGACACCAAGTCCATCCCACTACAAATCACATAAAATGTAGGAAACCTGAGGAGAGCTGGGTGTTGTATTTTCACTTTGGAAATGCTGCCGCCCTGTGATGTCTATGGGAATCACACGTTGACGGATCATTAAGTTTATTCATTAATTATTTTATTGTATATTTTCATACACAATTAAAACCCACTTTGTTCTGCAGCCAAGTTATTCTCCCAGGCTGGGGAGATCTGATGCTTGCTGAGAGTCCCAGCAGTGTTTTTATAGTTTGTTTCATTTGTTTTGTTTTGTTTCATTTTGTATCATCTAATTTAATTCAATTTTCATTTGTTTCATTTTGTTTCAGTTAAGTTTAGATTCTTGAACTAAATCACGCCTAATTTAATTTCTGCACATAAATTACTTTCCGTTCACTTTCCCTTTTAATTTTGGTTTGCTTAATTTTTTTGGGCCACTAAAACTTTACAACACATATTGACATATAATAAATGTGCCATACCCTAGAGTGCAATACTATCTCAGTTGTTAACAATAACTTATTGTCCTGTCCTGTTTCATATCTATCGTTTTACAGATTATAGTAATCTTCACACTATTTTTTATTTGTACATTTAGAACCTTAATTAGTTTAGCTGAAACTCTTTATATTTTAAATTTTGTTGTCATTTTTGTTTTGTTTGTTATGTGGGAATGCATCGTCATTTTCTTTGTATTCTGTGCAATGATCATAAAGGAATCTGATTCTGAATCTGAATTATACCTTTATAAAGCTGATAAAAGTTTAGTAACTTGAAGTTACTAAGTTAAGTTTTCAGTCTTGTGTTGTGTTGTATTATTTACCCTTCAAATAATATTTTCCCATATTTCCAATAGTGTCTCATTGCAGAGAACCCAAACTGGTTGGGGGATTTGCAGGGGAAAAAATGTGAAACAACACCGGCATCTAAAGGCCATTTGAGGAACTGCAGCTTCTGATGTACTGCATTGACTTCAACTTGTCATGGCCATACAAAATACTGCACCAGCTGAACAGTGTTTTCGAATTGAAACTCTGCTGCTCAAACAGGTTAGCCTGCTGTGTGTTTAAGTTTAGCTCAGTGCTTGCTGGTGCACACAGACTGCTGACATGGCTGTTTTGTTCCCACATTGCATGACAAGGATAGTTTAACATTTATACAATCATCAAATAGAGGTCTGACACATAAGTATGTACGTAAGGATATTTGTGTGTGTGGGTGTGTGTGTGTGTGTGTGTGTGCAGTTTGTTTACAGTTTGCTATAAAGACTAGGTCAGTGGCCGAGGTCTTTATGCAGCGTAATCCCACAGCCTCTTTCTGGAAAACACGACTAGCAATGGAACCACTGACTCAAATTTTGGATCTCATTCTCATGACAAAGCAATTGTCTCAATTATAGAGGGCTCTGAGGGTATAAAAGAGAATGAGGGCGCATATGAGCACACACACGCACACACGCATGCACACACACATACTCACACATAGTACTTTACATAACACACACACATTCAAGGGAGACCACACTGTGGAGCAGATCTAGTCCCAGGATGGGCAGGGTGAGTAGAGATGAAGGATTACAGTTAAGTTTAAGTTTTAACATTTTAACCTGTCTGTGTGAACAGCAGCCATGACAGAAGAGCGACATTGTGTGGTGCAAGCACTGGTTCATCTAACTTAGCACAGGGACTGGGGAGAAAAAAGCCTTGTCTGCTACAACAGTGCATTTAGAGAGTTGTAGCCTTAGACTCGCTCCCCGAGTCCTTTTTCAGTTAACATCTTGTCATAGCAAGTGAGTCATCAAATCCATCCCATAATCACCTGGGTGTTTTCAGGATCCTTGAGATGAAATGAAATATGGCCTTGCTCTTTTTGTAAAACACAACCAAAATATCCTGAGGCTATTTGTATTAATAATGACAGGCAACATCAATATACCAATGTAACTGATAATAAAACTTTTAATTTTGGTTCACATTGGATAAATTGAGCATGGACATACGTACGATTATTTCCAGCTACCACTACCACTTTGTTTAGATTCTGATCCTGATTTTGAGAATTCAGGAAATGCCTTCAGAGCAGTGGTCAAGTTGGTTGAATGAACTCGCTGGGTATTTATTTTTCAGAAAATGTGAAGCCCTCACTGTTTAAAGGGAATTTAATGTTGAGATTGTATATCCAGGTTTGGGCTTGCAGGTTTCATTTTGTTAAGTCTGAACATTTAGTAGATAGAAAATTGGTCAGAAGTTAGATATCCTGCTTTCTTTCTCCTGTGGATCCACTTTCCAAAAACCTATGTAAACCTGTAAAGTCTGTGTGTTTATTTACACAAGTAGGATGAGAATCAGGAAACAGAGTGTAAAATAGAGTTTACAGACAGAAATCAAAATGTTAAGACTTTATAGGCTAAGAGCCCAGACTATACAAACATCCACATTAGAGTTTACAGACTTGAACTTATTTTACAAGCTTACAAACCAAATATTATATGCATATATTATCAAGCACTTTAGGTAGGTATTTAATATTTCACTCAGATTCACTCATGTACTTTCCACCAGATCGTCTTCTACGAGGACAAGAACTACCAGGGTCGCAGGTATGAGTGTGACAGCGACTGCAGCGACTTCCACTCATACCTGAGTCGTTGTAACTCGGCCCGCGTGGAGAGCGGGACCTGGGTGATCTACGAGAGACCAAACTACATGGGGTACCAGTACGTCCTGACCAGAGGCGAGTACCCCGACTTCCAGAGCTGGAATGGCCTCAACGACAGAGTCAACTCCTGCAAGATGATTCACTTTGTAAGCCTTCGAACGTACTAAGTTTCTAGGATACAGTGGCAACGACTGCATAATGTTTTACTCACCAAAATGAAACACCAGCTAGTTTGGCATTAGCTATGCTAATATGCTATGCTATGCTCCTCCATTTTTACACATTTTCAATGATATCAGCCTATAAAATCTGCAATAAAAATTGCTTGAACCTGCTTAAAATTGTCAAATAATTAAAACCGCTGCCAAGACAGTTGATTTTGAAGTAAGAAAACACTTCAATTTGAAGATGTTGCAACAAAACATAAAAACATTACTGCAACCTATCTCCTTCATTTTGCCTCTCTGTTTCCCCTTTGCCGGCGTCCTCCTCCAGGCCAGTGGAGATCCTTACAAGATCCAGCTCTATGTAAAAGGGGACTTTGGTGGTCAGGTGTTTGAAGCGACTGAGGACTGTCCCTCCGTGCTGGAGAAGTTCCACTGGAGAGAGGTTCACTCCTGCAGGGTCCTGGGAGGCTGGTGGGTCTTTTACGAGCACCCTCACTTCAAGGGCCGCCAGTATCTGCTGGAGAGAGGCGAGTACCGCAAGCCGGTGGACTGGGGAGCCATCTGCCCTACGGTGCAGTCTTTCAGAAAGCTAACTGAGTAGCCACTTTCCTTTTGTTTCACCTTTTCATTGGCTGCTGATTGGCTCATGACTGAGATCTGAGAGACCAAGACACAGCAACAGCTACAATAAAACTGAATGATGAGGAATTACAGGGTTGTGTCATCACTGAGTGGGAGTGTCTAGAAGTAGGAGTGCACTGTGCTGTACATGAGGGATTGCGATCTCAGTAAGTGGACCTTGAGTTGTCAGAAAGAGCTGTAAGAGATTATTGAACCTTTCGCTCCATGCCAAACATTTTAATTAATAGCAGAGGTATGAATTCTAGTTGCACGACTTGGACTTCAGTCATAAGATTTACTTTAATTTTTGTCAAAGATAAATAAAATATTGTGAGGTGCACACTTCTCAAATCAATCTTCAGACTTTGTTACCATGCAACAATAATTTACCAATTACAAAAACTGATGCTAATAGGTGTGGTCAGAATGCTCTTTTGCGCCTGTAATCACACCCAACAGTAATGTCACAGTGTACTGATACACCCTGGAGTACACTTCTACTGCAGCAATGTGGAACGTGAACGCACTGGAGGTCCGCAGAAACAAGATTTCAAGGTGCCGTTAAGTTCCTGGAATGGAACAACACATGCTTTTAACTCCCTGGGTACCCCTTTAGTGTCGTTTTTTAATGTTTAGGGCTCCGCTGTCAATAAATAACGTCCACTTAGACTTTCAAAATAAAAGTACTTGTTAATGTTGCAAAACGTCACAATTTTCTCCTAGTCTCCTGGTTGAAAGTTCAGTTTCTGGCTCACCCGTTCATCCCAACCAACTCCAAACTTATGCCAACGGGTCTTGACCACGCGTCCATATGTGAAGATCTGGTTGAATAGAATTTTTTTTTTTTAACCATGAAAAAATCTATAACTGCTTAAGGTGCCTTGAAGATTAATCCGTTATAATGTACGTATGCACAATTTACAGTTAAGGAGCTGAAATTTGCAAACTCATTGGTCCATTAAGTTTCTTCCTATAGTTGTTGGATGTCTCTGAGAAGCAGTGGCGGAGTGGTTTTAAAGACATTTGGGAGAAATCGGGCTTTTTACTGAGCCTTCATTTATGTGTTAACTGTTAAAGGAGACCTACTATGCTTTTCAATATTTTATGACTTATCTACAATGGATCAATTAAATTCCTGTGAGCCAAAACCTCAGATTTCCTCCTGTTCTGAACTTAACTCTGTTTTCAACAGTTTTTTCTACCAACGGATCCCTTTGATGACATACAGAGCTAGACGGAGTTGATATTCCCTATATGGTCATTTGCTCCGCACAGCTATGCTTAGTCTGTCTGTACAGCTCAGTGGCAACAACAGCTTGGTAACGTGCATCAGGTCTTTGCCAATCAGAAGACAGTGGGCTTTGAGAGGGAGGCCTTAAAGAGACAGGAGCATCTATAGCTTGATTCAGACAGTGGCTGAAATGAAGCCCTACATCAGAGGTCACTAATAGGCGGACCGCAGTCCAGATCCGGACCCAGCCGCTGTCCTCTCCGGACCGTCGACCTACAGCCGATTCATTATTGAGACTTACTACCTCATGACGGAGCGTTTCTATTTTAACCCGCGCAGCTTTTGTTGAATTTACTGTACTGGTTTAGTGGCCCTGGAAACTCACAGACCAATCGCATGTGCTTCAATCGTCTCATGTGACGCTGCTCAGCCAATCAAATCTGTGCATTCCGATGCTTGCGAGTCGAGTCCGTGCGATTCACCAGAGACGTTTTGGAAACACACACGAATTGAGGAGACGAAAGGGAAAAGAGATTTCACATGGCTTTTAATCAAGAATGTACAGATTCTTACATGTACATTCCTCCCACGGGCAGTTCAACACCAGAATATCGCATAGATCTCCAATCCTAGCTGGCAGGACAAACTAGAGCTCACGTTTCTCACTGAACAAGATAAAGTAGGGAAGTGGTTGCTCTATAAGAGGGAATGAAAGAGAAGAGGAGGCATTACAGCTGTTCATTTGTTATGATGTGTTGAGTGTTTATTATAAAACTGGTTATGACTACACTTCATCACTTCAAGCTACACTTTTTATTTAATTTTTTCAAAAAATTATAGGCACTTTATTTTAGTTTACTTAAATTTAGAATTTATTATTAGAATAGTTATTATTTATTATCCCTCCAGTTTGATGTGAAAACTGACTGAAATATTATTTGATTTGACAGACCGTACAACTATACCTTATGGTACTGAATGATAACGCAAATTAGTCGTTTTGATGTTCCGGACCTTTGCTTCAGGAAATTTTCTGTAACTGGACCTCTTTGAATTCTAATTGAATACCACTGCCCTACATGAAGGACCAGTATAAGACAGAAAAGGATTTTTTTTAACTTTGGATCATGCAAAGCTGCCATACAGGAGTCACAGAACTACAACATAGGACTGGAAATGCAGTACAATAGGTCTCCTTTAAAAGAGTTTATTACTGAAGGTTCAATTGTCTTGTTTTTATATCACTCAGTGTATGCAGAAGTGTTATCCTGTCAAACGAATCAAAATGAAACTATAAAACAACCTATTTTATTGTCAGATCTGTTTACAACGGGTGCTGATGATAACAGTTTATAATAGTTTAAAATCGATGCATTTACATCTTATCTCACATGCCAAACTTCGGGCAAATGTCTGTCATGCAGTAAGTTGTGTGGCATGCTAGTTTATTCCTGTCTTTCAGTCCAGATTTTAGTCTTCTCTGTTCACACTGAGGGTTGTCCTTCGTTAATGAAGCTGAGCTGAGCGGTTTGCTCTCCCCACTCCAGCTCCTGCAGGTTCAGGAGGGGTTCTCGGGAGCGGGTTGCCATGCTGGAGGGCTGGAGAATGGGATGGAGCTGAGGCTGGGAAAGGGAATGGGGATGAGACCGGGATATGAACTGGAACTCAGGCTGGAACCGGAGCTGGGACTCAGACTGGGACAGGAGCGGGATACGGGATTGAGGCTGTGTTTGTGGCTCACTACCAGATCCTGCTAAGTCCACCAAAAGGGGAGAGATGGATGAAGAGATAGAGGGGATGGAGGAGGAGGAGTAGGGATGTGGCATGATGGTGTGCTCATGGGGAGAGCTGTTAAGTGATGGGGGAGCTGAGCAATGAGACACTGGGGGAGCAGCGCTAGCCTGATGAGGAACTGGAGGATTATGGGAGGTGATGATTCGGGAGGGTGAACACTGAAGTGGATCAAACTCTCCTTGTAACACCTTCGTGAAGCTCAGCTGAGGAGAGTCCGGTCCAGGTACCAGGATGGATGAAGGGTTTTGATCGTCTGAGTGGTCCACAGGTGTGTGTTGGGTAAGAAGGGGTGGGGCCGGGGAGCAGCTGTGTGATGTCACGCTGTGAGGCGGAGTCACAGCATTGGGTATCAGCAGCGTGGAGGTGTTATGGAAGAGGGGTTTGAGAAGACGTGTCATTTCCTGCAGCTCCTGACTGACAGCGGTTACCTGACGGGAGAGGACGTTCATCTGGAGAGAGGGGAGTCAGACTGAAGAGTCATAAATGCTGGTTGTCTTGTTTTCCAGTTTAGGATACTGTCATACAGTAATGTCAAATCTTGGCTTAAAGCTCTGAATTTACTATTTAGTCAAAGTCAGTTTTTCTCCATAACACCTTAGTGTAAGTAGCCTTACCTCATGTTTTAGCTTAGCAATAGTCTGCATGGTGTCACCCTCATCAAGGGCCCCTATGGACAAATAACGAAATGTACACACACACACATCCATGCAAGTAAGGACTTGCTGACTGATAATCAAGAATGAATTATTGAGTCATACATAAATGTGTCTTTGCGGCTCTACAGCTCGAAACCTTTCTTTTTAATGGGATCCAGTCCAGTCTCATATATAGTATGTATATATGTGTGTGTATGTATGTTAACCTGAGGTAGCTGAATCGGGGCTGGGTAGGAAACTCTGAGTTGCGCTGGGAGAAAAATCAAATTTCGGAGCCGAACCACTTTGGTTTTCTGTCTCAATCCCGTCCACAAACCTGAGGACAGACAAGAGGAGGGAGTCAATGAATTTCACCCAAGACAATCAGGTAACAAGGCAATAATTCTGGCATTCCAACTTAAAATAAATAAATAATAAATAAACTATATGGGAATAAACTGATTACTTTATTTTCCGAATCGCAGATTATTCTTAGTTAGTGTACTTCACTGTCCTAAACAGACAACAAAAGTGAGACTTTTCGGGATTTTCCGTATCAAAGATGGCTGCTTAATTAGTCAGTGTGAGACAATGAGACAGAAGCTCCACATTGTTAAAGCTATTTCTTATTGGGGCTTAATTGATGTAACAGGGAAAGGTAAGACAAGGTCTACTTTTGTAGTTGCTGACCCCACAGGTGTTCACTGACCTTCCAGCTCTCATGTCCTTGTTAGGGAGACGACAGTTAGACTGGTAAGGTAGAGACAGTATCTCAGACTTCAAGCTACCAGATATCAGTGTTTTCTGAGAATCTTACAAGGCTGAATCTTACAACTCTACAAGAATTTACTGGCTTTACTGGCTCCACAGTGTAGAGTACAACTCATGGATAGTAATAGATTCCAATATGAAGAAGCATTGTAATCTAAACATCAGACAGACTGACTGGTACTATGTAGAAAGTGTTGCATGTGGCTTGAAGGACACACAGTGGGTCTTTATTTGAGCCAATGACTAATAAACTCCTTACACATTAATAGAGGGGTGAATAATAACCCTATTTGGATGATTAGTAAACCTCTATAGATCTAGGAAGGATAAATATCCCCAGACAGGAAGTGTCCTTCAGATTTGGTGTTGGCATTTGATGACCTGCAGGTGTTTCTGGTTTTAGAGCTGTGGAGTCTGGATTTGTGGTTGCAAGTCACCTGCTGCCCCCGTGTTCCTGCTTGACACCCTCTGCTACAATTATTGTTTCTAGTCCTATTGTTATTATAATATTTAACATTACAATTATTATCATTAACACTATAAATATCTGTACCATTTTTCATTCAGTCTATAGCAACATTACCTTTAATGTCTGTACCTCTGTGTGTATATTGTGTAGGCTGCCTCACTCCCCTAACCATGCTGTGTTAAGTCTTCATCAGTCAACCTGGCTCACAATAATCTTCACCAAACATGGTGTCAGCAGACTGAAAACCATTTCTACCTTATAACACGATGCCAAGATAAAGGTCACATGTCTCTATAGGTTACACATGCAGGCAGGTACAAATGGCTTTTCCTTGTTCAAGATAGCATACAAGATCCCACATGTCCCTATAGACTTTCCATTATTCATAAACACAAACTGGACATGGCTCAATCGCCAAAGCAATAAAAAGATTCCTCATTCATTCACTGAATCCAAGTGCAGTATATCATGCGAAGTCTAAGCTAATAATAACCCTTCTCATCTGGGATCTCTAGGCGCTTGATTAAGGCTCTGGCTGATATCTTCAGACATTTATTACACATAAATTCCCTCTTACCCTTATCAGTAGTGGGACTGAACAATTTCTACTGAAGGTAGACAAATCCCTTGGGAGCAGGAAAGTGTTCAGCAAATTTCATAATAATTCACCCTGTAAATATCCTGCGTGCAAAGCTGACATTTTGGTGTGAGGATAATACTAGAGGAAAAATCATCATCAATGTCCAACATGTAAATGGTGCTCATTGAATTCAATGGCAATCTGAATATTAAATTCCATAATTTATTATTGTCACTGTTGTTTATTTTAAATGGCAATTTCCCCACATGGTGGTGCAAGATAAAAGATCAGTGAGTCATCTAAATCATGGGATTCATCCTCTGGGGACAATAAATATGAATGGACAGGGACGTTTGTTGCGTCTCTCCCTTGTTTCTTCTCTCTACAATCTGTAATAGAGCTGCGTCGACAGATCCTTAGGCTTTGATATAAGTAGGACAAAATAAGCCCAGTTCTGGACCTTACCCATCTACTCTTACTTAATATGCAAACACCCAGAGAAAACAACAAAGTTAATCATCGAAGAGTTTCACTGTCTAATGATGTAGCATGCAAAATATACAAATAAGTTATAGAACAGTATAAATTTAATAATGATTGCTGAATACAGAACTTAGTAACTAGATTTTTGTTGTTGCATTCTTTGTGGGGAAACCTTTCTTTTTATAATCCAACATTATAATAGAACCTTTATCAGCACATCAAAATGATCAAAGCTTCCCCATTCCTGTGTAGCCTCAGCCAAAACATTTATTATCTAACACACTGATCTCAGAGAGTTACACACTTCTGCTCTCTATACTCTACAAAGTTCACCAATTTGTCAAACTCAAAATCATCACGTGCATATTGCACCTCACGGTGAGTGGATCATGACAGAGAGCGCTTATGGAAATCTTACCCAGATGATGTCAGTCAGCAGGTTCAAAGGTCGCACTCAGTGACAGCAGATAAGGAGGAGAAGCTGCACACACCTACATACTAATTACCAGTCAGACTTCCATATGCTCTACGCTATTACAGACAAAAGCTGTATCTGACTGTCATCGCTCCTTCATTCACTATTCCCTGTTTGTAGGACATTGAGATTTTGGACATTAATGAATGATAATTTTGCGTCACCACTGACAGTAGTATTACATAACAGAAAGTGCTCTGGACACAATATCTGTCACAACCCCTCCTGCTGTGACCCAGTTGTGACATCTGGTGCGTGTGTGAAAGAGCGTTTTATTATTTTCTCTTTTTTATGTATGTGGTGTAGCTGTTGTGTTTTTTTTTTCTTTCTTTCTCTCTCTCTCTCTTTCCCCATCTCCTTGCTTGCAGTGAAGTTGGTAGGCGTGACTGTTGCCGTGGGAGCTGGCTGCACACACCTGCACTTCGTCTAATTTGTCTCAACTTATCCACGCTTCCTTGGGTTTCAGCTCTATTTAAGCAGCAGCCAGACATCCTTTCCCCTCTGGATTGTTAAGTCCTATCCCTATGTCTTAACCCTAAGTTGCCTGAAAACATCCCTCTAACTATTTCCCTTATTTTCAAATCCCAAAATTGACAGGTATGAACCTGTGTGCTCTGTACTCGAGAAGAGTTTTCTGGACATTGATTCCTCTGCCTGGATATTTCTTCTAACCTGCCCGTCAACCTGCCCCCAGTTTGCCAGTCTGTTCCCATAGTCTTCACTGTCTTTCACCTGCCCAGTCTGTTCATCTGCTCCCCTGCCCAGCTTCACATTCGTCGGCTCAGTCTGCCAGTCAGCTCCCTGGCCTCAGCTTAAACCCACCTGCTTGGCCTAGTCAGCCTCAACCCAATCAGCCTGACATGCTCTGCATTTTATTTGTGAATAATTCCTTAAACCTGCCTGTTGTTAAGAGTCTCTCTGGGTCCTAGATCTGAACCTTGACAATATAATTTAATCCGTCGTCAGACAGGGGTTGCACAAACAACATTACAACAATCAAGACTTCTCAACACTAAAGTTATGGAGCCTTCATGTACGGAGGTCCAGACCAGGCAATATTTTAAATTATTTTTTTAATATAATCTAATTGAAATTAAATTATTTTGTGTGCACATGATGTATGACAAAATTAAAATTTTACTATGAACTTTGTTTGAAAGTGCATTATCACTGGCAAAATTACAGAAATGTTAAAACCCACTAATTCAAATGATGACTCTGCTGCAACACTATGGAAACAATGTAAAATGGACTTAATTTTCTATATTAACAGACAAAATGCGACTTAAACTTGAAAAAACAACTTTAAAAAAACTTTTTTGTTATTTTATATAATTTAATTTTGATTTTTTTCCCTTTTATTTTCCTGCTGACACTTGATTGCATATGTCCTTTAAAAATAGAATTAGAATATGCTCTGATGAGCAGACTTTTCAATCTATTAGTGGTAAATAAAACTCAAATCAGTCAACACATTGTCACTTTTTCTTTACCACCGTAATGCCCCTTTTTCCCTAAATGTCTAAATGGAAAATAGACACAGTGACACAATTTATGCTTCTGTGGACCCTAACACAGCTGTACCAAAATAAATTGATTCCTCCATCTGAGCGTCTGCTGCCGCCTCTCCGGGGGACTCCATGCAAATTAGCATGTAGAGGGTTCGTGTTTATGAATAAAGTCACAAAGAATGCAAGTAAAATTCCCAAAGCGGCTTACTACCACTGAATGCACTCCTCCAGCCAAGCTTACAGTTAGCACCCAGTTAATAAATCAATGAATGATTCCATACCGAGGGCTGAGGTCCGGCTGCAGGCAGCTGAAGCTCACCATGGGGATCTGCAGGTTGGCCGGCCGGGTGTGATCGCTCACCGGTCTGAAGGTTCTGGCCGGCAGCAGCGGGGAGCGTAGAGGGGAGCGCAGGGGGGGAGCGCAGGCCTCGTCCCAGCCTGCCCAGGGGGAGGCATTTTGGGTAGAGGCGAGTGTTCACCCTCTGAACCTGATCCCTCCTCGTCCTCCTTGATGGATGGAAGCTTCTTCATGATCCCTCCGTTGCTCTCACAGTCTGCCTGAAGAGTGACAAAGAGGGCAGGGTCCAGCAAAATGTAATCGTTTGTTTGAAACAAAGAGATAGCAAAAGAGAAGAAGTGCGTCATTGAGCCATTGTATCCAAAATCACATATTTAATATAACATTTGTTTTCTGATGTCTTTCTGGAGCTGTCTCGCCATCATGTGCACTACAAATATTTCCACAAATGTAGTTTTTATTATGCATACTGACATTTTTTGGCCTAATTTGATCACACTTCCACTTTGAACACACCACCTACTTAAAACCTGTAATTGGGACACAGTGCCAGGATTAACAAGACGTCAGGAAGGTTGAGTCAGTGCAGCGTCACTTCACTCTTTGACCGGACGAGGGAGATGCTGAGCCTTTGAAAGCATTGCCGAGAGTGAGCAGTTGCCATTCACAATAGCTGCAGTGCCGCTGATATCCATTCAGTTTCTCATTCAAAACCAAGCAAGCATAAACACCATTCACTCTTTCTGAAGGCTTTCTACGAGCTCGGATGAAAAAATATAGATGAGCTTTGTAGATGTTCAGGACTCCAAACAAGGCATAACAGATTGTCCTTTCAAAGTAAAATTCCTGCAGTCAGCATGTTGTTATTGGTGGCTGATACATATATTTGGGGAAGGTTATTGGAGTTTTATTTCCTGCACCTTCTTTGGATTGTAATTTAAATCTCATTAAAGCACTGGCAAACAAATCCCGCCCCCCCCCCCATCCCTCCTCTTTTCCCCTGTCACTACCGCCCTTCTCCTTCTCTCCCTCTCTAGTTGTTGTCTTCTCCATCCTGTCTTTGGCTCACGTGCCCGGCTGGTATTTTTAGATCACAGAGGTTTAAATTTAGCACAGAGGTTTGCCTGGAGGGATTCGAGCGGAGAAGGGACTGTTTGGAATTTCAGCACGTGCCACCCTTGATATGCTGCATGCCACTGTAAGGGCATCAGCCTATTATGTGTGTGTGTCTTTGCGAGTGTAAAGACAGAGAAATATGTGTGTGTGTTGCATGTGAGAGACATTGCATGATGAAATATGGTCACTGCACACGTATGTGTGTGTTATGCATATGAGATGCGGCATGGGTGAACATGTAAAGGACGCAGCTTGCAGCATGTTAGTGTGTGGGCATGTATATCATTCTGTATCAGTGAGGACAAATATGCTGTGTTTTGTTATGTGAGAGTATGATGTTGCATGTGTGTGTTGTCTGTGTGTCGGCACGTGAATGCAAATATCAGCGAAGTTCCTCCTCTCCCTTTCCCCCGCAGCTTCTTTTCATCCTGATGTTTTCCTTGTCTCGTCTCCATCTGGTTGTTGCTCTATATTTATCCAGCCAGGGATGACCCCGCCCCTCCCCCACCCCTCTGACAATGATATTTTTAGTCCCACGCTGCGCTTGGTGGAGGATGCATTACTGCTGTCTCTGTATGTGCACATGTTTGTGTGTGTATGGTTTTGACAACACTGTGGAGTAATGTGCCTGCCAAGCATACACTTGAGTTTTATATTTATGCTTTTAAAAAGTAACTAACTTTTGAAGTACTATATTTCCAACTGCATTTTATTACCTTTTTCAAATTTGGCACTATTTGTTAATGCACTGCACGTAATATAATGACTTTTACTCTATTCTATACTTGAACTGACTTTATTTTCCTCTTTATTATCTTTGAAATGTGGTTTTAATGAATTTATTTGCCTTGTTTAAAGCTATTCAAAATGCTTCTGTGTTTGAAATGTACCAACAATTAAATAAGTTGGGATTGTGCTTTTATGATATAGCAATAAACCGCAGTATTAATATTGTTATGTAGCATCTATCCAGCAATGTTTATGTAATATTTTTGTGACATTTAAATAGTTTGTCTAATCTGCTTGAAATTTGGATTGTTTGAGAACATAGTATATCTATTGTATGTCAGACTGTATACAAGTGTGTAATACTACACTTATCTATGGGAAGGTGTCATGGTGCTTTAAGAACTGAAGTGAAGGATTTCCAAAAAACATGTATCCTTTTTCTAAATCCAGGAAAACACATGTCAGTTAAGTATTATTTAAGTATTTTTCATGCAGATAGATGCTCTCGTCCCCTTATGTTTATCTTGTAGCTCTGCTCTAAATAACAAGCTCACTCACAGTTCAAATGTGACATAGTTATTTCCAGTATATGCTGGTTATTCATGTGTGCGCTACAGCTGAGATCCATCCGTAAATCCCTGGCATCTGAATCGCCCATGTTTAGCTCATGTCTTTATCTGTTGGCTGCATCTCAAGCAGAAGCCATGGCTTCCTCCTCGCTGCCAGTCCAGATGGCTAATCCTTTTCAAGTGCAAAGCCATAACTCTGGCATTGCGTAAAATGTTGGGTGGAGGAGGTCACCGCACTAATTTAAAAAAGGGAAGGACTCTTCCTGTGGAACTTATCCAAAATTTTCTTTAAGACATTTAGAACATGAGCTGATTAATCTCCAATGCAATTGAGACATATGGTAATATTAATAATTGTGATAATAATACATTTGCAAATGAAAACAACCAGAAAGCTGTTAAACTTAAACTTAAACTGTTTATCGCTACTTTTTTTCAGAGGGAGAGACACATAGAGGTATTCAAGTATCTCTTGGGTCTTGGTTCACAAGTGAGGGTAAGATGTAACGCTATATCGATAGTTGCATTGGTAGACCTTCAGCAGTGATGCACATGGGAGGGATTAAAGAGTGAGCTGGACCTGAGGGCCAAACTCTCATTGTACCGGTCAAGCCATATTCCAGCCCTCACATAAGGTCATGAGCTTTGGGTAGTGTTGGAAAGAATGAAAGGTAAGGTCCTTCTTGTTGAGAAGAGCCAATTGAGGTTGTTTGGGGCATCTGATTGGGATTCCTCAGATCATCCCAGAGCAGACCCAGAACATGCTGGTGGGATTGCATATCCCATCTGGCCTGTGAACATCTTAGTATCTAGGAGTTGGATGGTGTGCCTGTGGAGGAGGATGACTGGGCGACTTTGCTTGAGTAAGTATTTCAGAAATTATAGAAACCAAGATTTTCACTGCAGGGGCCCTTAAAATGAAAAAAAGCAACCATGTTAGTGGCCAACAGCTTGATCCCACATGTGTTAAGGCAGATCAGAAAAGCATTATCGTACCTCAGTGCTGTGTCCCTCCCGGAGGTTGTACGTCAGATCATGCTGGATCTCAGTGATGAACTTCTGCGAGTAATCAGGGTAGAGACAGAGCACCTCACGGAGGCCTTTGAGGCTGATGTACTGCAGGTCACAGTATGTCAGGGCCTTCACGCAGGCGTTAGTCTTAATCACTTCCTCCTGGGTCAGACAGTCAGAGCCAATCAGGTCACCCCTACCTGGAAAGCAGAGATACAGGTAGAGCTGTAGTCGAGGCAAAGGGTAAAGAATGTTTCTGAGGCCACCAGGTTTCATTAAAAATTTACGAGAGGCCGTCTATGTTGGTACAGTGCATTATCATGATTATACCAAAACCAAAGAGGATTCACTAGCAGGGACCACACCACAGCAATATGTCATTTAAAGGTTTAATGGAAATTCAGAAGGCACAGATGTTTGGGGACGGATGAATGGACATAAAGGGCAAGGGTGATGGTGAAAGAAGGATGTCATCCGTTAGGCTGGTCTAGGAGGATGTAGAGAAGAGGGAGACTCGTGTTTGTGTTCTCACCTGAGCTTATTATGGGCCCCCAGACAGTACCAAGAATGAGACATGAAAAAGGTGTGTCCCAGATTGAATAGGAAGGGATGAGGGAAGATGGGAAGAGAGGAGGAAGGTAAGAGGGAATAAAAGATGAAAGGGTGAGGGTAGAGAGTATGAAGGGGAGAGAAGATGAAAGGGTGAGGGAGAAGAGGATGAAGGGATGTGGGTAGGGATGAACAGAGGGAGGGATGAGGTAGGAAGGTGAATAGATAACAGGAAAGGACAGGGAGAGGGGGGGTCCTGCAATCGGAGACAAGGGAGCAGAATAGACCAGGTATAAATGGAAAGTGGGTGACACCTACTTTAATTGTTAGTGTGCTTTTGTTATGATTAATTGCAGTCAGTGATGAAATGTAACTAAGTACATTTACAGAAGTACGGTACTCAAGTAACTATTTTTTACTCTGATGCATTTATTTCACAGCTACGGTTAGTAGTTAGATTGGGTTTTACAAAAAAAAGCATGATAAATTTAAAAAGACGCAGCACTGTCAAAGTATAAACAAGTGGTTTCCAACCTTTTTGATTTGTAAGGAGTGTCTCGTTGCCAAAGTCCAAAAAATATGTGTAGCAAAATTCATCTTGGGACCTGTTGGAGGGGACCCATCCCTAGGTTGGAAACCACCTAACTAAACTCCACCTTGAGCAGCTAGAACATTAAAATGACAATTAACACACTCTACAGCAGAGAGGGTTGAATGTATGGTCAGACTGTCTTATACATAAGTTAGAGTAAACACTATGGGATACAGATGCACTGTTATAGATTACAACAGGTCTGTGTTTTCTCTTTCCTCTTTTTTTCTGCTTCCTCTCTCTACCTCACTGAATTCTCCAGAGCTGTATATCCAAAGTGGCAATGCCAAAACAATTTGAATGTGTGTGTGTATGAGAGAGAGAGAGAGAGAGAGAGAGAGAGAGAGAGAGAGAGAGAGATAGCAGGCAGTAAAAATCATAAAAATTCAATGTGCGTGCTGTGTGTTTCTATGTATGTGAGCAAGAAAGTCAGAGTGTGTGTGTGTGTGTGTGTGTCTACAGCTACATGGGAGACAGAGGAGGCAAATGTGTGTTTCAATATCCACATGTATTAAGTATTAAAAAGTGACAGAGAAGCTTTTCCTGATGCCCCTACCATTAGCTTCAGATGAGTCAAGAGTTATCTCGCCCTGTACAGCATAAAACGTGGTTAACCACCAGAGCAGGTAACCGCAGGTGTGGGAATTGCAATCATTGTACTAATATACCAACTATTTTACTGACATAACATCAAGTCATAAGTATAACATAAAGTAATTTATACATTGTGATGTATGTGGGTAACAGATTTGTATACTGGGAGAACAAAACATAAACTGAAGGCAAGACTGGCCAAACATTATGCTATAAGAACTGGCAACCCCAAATACCTCATGGCTCTACATTACAAAGAGGCTGACCACGGCAGTTGTAATTAGTTAGAAGATATCAGGCATGGACCATACAGAAAACTCAATAAGGGGTGGAGACAGATTAAAAAGGCTCTTACAAAGAGAATCGTTTTGGATCCAACATTGAACACAATACCCTGGTTTGAATAGAGAATTTGACTTCACTGCTTTCCTGTAATTGCCTCATCTTGCTTTTTCTAGGCATCGGTGTCCTTCCTACTGAAAACTTAATTAAGAACGCGTGGGTATCTGTTTAACTGTTACTTTGACTAAATAGCCATGAGATTTTAAAGGCTTTTTAATCACTGCCTTCTTGTGCGCCTCAGATTTGTTCAACAATTCTATCCACATGTATGTACATACACAGCAGGTTCAACATGATAATGAGCTTTCCCACTTTCTTCAATAGGCACTATCACTTCATTATTTACACCAGTTAGATCATTAATATGAAAAACAGTGTTGCCGTTTTCTCCCTCTGCTTTATACTGACCTGAACTGACTCCAGTGATGTTTGTTAGTCTGTTTGTGTTTCTCAATTCTGTTTCATCCATGTTATGCGGAATAAAAAGAGTGTCAGTTTGCGTGTTGTAGGACAAGGCCCTGGAGAGGCTCTTATTCTGCAGGAATGACTGCAAAATGACTGGGAGGCAGATTTTGTAGTTCTGGCTGTTTAATCAGCTCACCTATTGGAGGCATGTAGCAGTGGCGGACTCAGGCTGTCTGAGGGGCAGGGGCAGAAAAACAAAAAGGGCACCAGCTTCATGGCGTGGGGCAACAGGGCGTAGAAATTGACAGACGGACGTTGACGTGTATTTGTTGGAAATAGGCGTATCTGTATTCTCGAGCGCCCCTGGAAAATAAACTTCTGAGCAGCATAACTAGTTAATCAGATACTTCTATAGGCCCCTTTGGGATTTTGACTTGTAGGCCCATGCGGTAATCTGTCTTCATCAAGTTTTTTGCACATAGGGGCACCTTGGAGGTCACTTTACAACATTTCCTCATGCAGAGGCATCCTAGTGGGCACTGCATTTTTTTATCAAAAGGGCGCTCATTAGAGCATTGCATCATGTTTTCTCGCACATTGGGGCACCTTAGAGGGCACTATATCACTTTTTTTCCACTGGAAGGGGACCCAGAGGGCACTTCATTACATTGTTTGTGCATAGGGGACATTGGAAGGCACTGCATCATGTTTTCTCACACAGTGGGGCACTCTAGAGGGCACATTATCTTGTTTAATTTACGGCAATTTTGCATTGTGTTAATGCAGTTTTGACGTTTTAGTGGGTTCAGTAGTCCTTTTTGCTGCTGTGGTTTGTTCATTATGTCCACCAATTTATGAAGTATTTTTAGATAATTGATGTTCAGTCATCATTTAATTAGTAAACATTTCTCAGTCCCATATCAAAACAATATGGTGACTTAAAGCTGCATTGATATTTTTTTCAGAAGATCCATTGTTAAATGCAATTCAAAAGTTGTCACTTGATGTGTCAAACCACAGGTAATTAATGCAAATTCTGCAGTTCTACAGAGACTTTAAGCCTTTTTTTGCTTTTAGTTTTTGTTTTCTGGCCCAATACAGAACAATGTTGTGTTGAGGTTTCACTGTGTGGCATAAATAAATAAATAAACACAATCAATTAATGTTGTTTATGGATTTCCTGTTGGGCTTCTGGCTGCTCCCCCAACTGTTCCATCAATCCATGGGTCACACTCCATCTTTCACCCGATGGGGTGTGAATTGTTTGCCCACAGGGGCAGTTTAATATGGGGATGATTGCAGTTTTTTTTATTAGCACTAGGTTGCTCTTCATCATTATGTTCTTCTTCATAAAATCTGGCTGGCTGGCTATTAAATGTTGAATATCTAATAATTTTCTCAGTGATAAAAGCCCTTTCTCATCTTCTGCTCATAATGCTGCAACCAGATTCCAAAATAGACCAAAGAGGATAAGTCCTGTAACCTTAATTTACTTTTTTAACTTGATGGTTTTGCTCCTGTGTATTTTATGAATTTTATGCCCCTATACACAAACTCAATCATATATTCTGAAAAACAACTCTACTAGCAGTTTTCTGCAGTGTTGTGTAGCTTTTTAAGGTGCTATTGAATCCCTCAACCTATCCATCAGTCAAAGCTGCATCACCTGGGACTCTGACATCTCTTTCATCATCTTAGATATGAAACATGAATGTTTCCCGGTGACAATTTTATTTCATTCCCACTTAGGAAACCAGCAGGAATACTTGGATGGGGGCTATAGTGATGGATCGACTTTGAGAGAGGCCCCAAAATGCCCTTTGCATTTACAAGGGAACACAATGGTAATGGCACTCTTATTTTTGGAGGCCTGCCGATCTCCATTACTTACTTTGGGAATGGCCATGGCGTAGACTAGCTTGTGCACATACATATACCATGTTCTTCTTGCTGGAAGTAGACGTCGTTTTTCGAGTCACTTTGCTGCCGAAATCTAGGAGGGCTTCCGTGGTTTGGAGTCCAAGACAGAGAAGCCCTTCAAGATTCAGGTAACAAAACGACTCCCTCAGACTTCAGGCCCAGCAAGAGGCTAAACCCAAACCCTCAAACATACTTCCCTTGGGAGCCTAGGCCACTGGTATACTTACCTACTCCTTTAACTTGCCTCTGAGCAGGTCTCTCAAAAGAAGGAATAAGTTATTATGGGAAAATGGATGGATGGAGCCAGCTCTTCCATTGTATCTCATTGTGGGAATGTGTGCTGTCCATGGTACTGAACCTCAGTGGTGCTATGTGATGGGGAGTGTTTGGTATTGCATTATATATAATTCTATTTTAACGACAACAATCTTTCACTTCAGAACATGTTGTTTTTAAATCACATATCACTATTTATTTATACTAAAGCAGCTAAATAGCTCATTTCTGAGCCACTCTTTAAAATATTTACATTTTCATTCCAAAAACATCTTAAGTTTATCATACAATAATCCAAATTAAAATAAGCACCATTATATTATACATACTTCAATACAAAATGTCATTTGAACTTGTTTTTGTTCTTTACCTAGAATGGCCAGCACAGTGTTGTCCTTCAGTACTTCCATGGAGCCTGAGCATACAAAGTAGATAGCCTGGAGGGCGTCGCCTTGGCGGATGAGGAACTCCCCAGGAGCGCAAAAGGAGGTCTTGATGATGAGGGAAAGCGAGCGCAGACACCCCCTGCTGGCCGATTCAAAGAGCGGCAGTTGCAGCAGCTCGCTATTCAGGTGCATGGCGATGTCAGCCCTCAGCTCATCCGGGAAGTCCTTCAGCAGCTGTGGAGGAAACAACAAGGAAAAATGTGTCTGTGAAACAAGGGCACACAAAACACAATTCCTGTTACTGCAAACTAAACATAAATCTCCCATTTGTGTGTTATCATTTGAATGTGAGTGTGTGGGAAGGTGGAGGTAACAGGCAAAATAAAACCTTTCCCACATAATCACATCCAACTGATCCACGCATGACCAGCAAACTGTTTCTGGATTTTCATTCTGTACTCAAATGTCTAACAGCAAATGCAACCTTTCTCATGAACTTTATAGAGTGAATTCACAATGTATGTAACAAATAAAACATCTCTGCAAGGGAAAGTTGTGGGTTATTACCTTAAAGTATTAGCGTCTGACCACCATCATGTTATCTCTTTAAAAAGGATTATCTATTTGAAGCCATGGTAAAATACACCAGGACTGAGTTTAGCGTCTATGAGGTCATTAATCCATGAAATTAAGATATCTGTCCCAGTGTGATAGCACCCTAAACAAAACCCAAATCCTCTCAATGACTTTGAGCTGTTTCTTTAGTCTGCTTGGAGGGCAAGTCACCGGATTTGCACTTTCAATTTTAGAAGCCAGTCCAGTTGATCCCGTTATAACTGACAATCCAAGTCACAGAGGTCATACAAGTTAAAGGAACAGTCAGACATTTTCTGACTCATGCTTTAGCCTAGGGTGTGTTTAACCTAGTTTAGCATAAAGACTGGAAGAAGAGTGAAACTCTTTCACTTACACTGCTTCACAATCATACAGCTCCAGCTGTTCACACTGTCTTGTGACAAAGACATTCAATCAGTTAATGTATTTTGATCAGTCATTCTTGACGCAGTGAGTCCCTCCTACCTCGCTGACGTCGATACCATTATTGACAGACCAGGTCGTCTGGAAACATTCCATCATGCGTTGCTCAAGGGTCTTGGGCAGGCGGTGCACCCGGATAAAGTCCTTGAGGTCCTTGGTGCGGGTGTGGTAGAGGGAGCGGCGTGAGTACATCCTCTGAATAATGGCGGTCACATTACCGAACACCACAGCATGCATTAATGCTACAGAGCAGACAAAGAGACAAAAACATGAGAAAAAATTATCTCAATAAAAGACATAACTCAGTTAGGGGGTAACTGTACTATTTCTTTACAAAGTGGGTAGTTTAAGGTTATGTTTTAGTTTGATTAAAACAGCGTTATTTACTGGATAATTGGCAGCTCTGATCAAAGGTAAATATATAAAGTTTTTAGACCTTTTAAATATGATCAGCGGCCCAATTGCTTTGCTTGGCTGTGAGCCATTGTTCACCAATGGAAAGCATTGGGAATAACTAAGGTGTTGGGCCTTGATTCAGCTTGTTTGCTGTGACCTGTCAATGTGACTTTAAGGAGGATAACTGCCAGTGCCATCTCCTGTGTTTAAGCCGAAATACATAATTCACAAACGTCTTTGCTAGACTCATTTTTAGCCACTTTAGCGGTGAGGTTCTGATAGCAATAGATCACTCTCCGGTAAGGATGTCAATAGAAGAAGTTTCAAGAAGAATTGGGGCTTAGCTGAGTGACTTTTGCCATCTCTGAGCAATGGCAGTACCAGCTGGCCAACAGAGGCAGTAGAGAGGAGTACTGAAGCTGGGGCATAAGGTCTGACTAACGCCAATGGAGGTCATGTTTTTGACCAAACTAATACAAAACTAATGACATTAACATCAGCCTCAACTGTACTTTGTGTGAAAGTGCTAATTAGCAAACATTAGCGTTCTAAGACAAGAAACTGCAATGGTGATCGTGGCAAACATCCTGCTAAACATCAGCATTTTATCATTTTATTTGTGACCATGATAGCATGCTGACGCTAGCATTTAGCTTCACGCATAGCCACAGCCTCAAAGAGCCGCTAGCATGCCATATGGTCTGGAGTACAGGAATATTGCTGATATAAATGCTACACTTTGCCTCTGTGCTCTGCGCCTCACCTCGCAATACAGCTCATAACCCTGATCTTGTGTAGGGGACAATATTATGTACTATATACTCATTAGCACATGTTTTTTTTAAAAGATTTTCACAAGTGAATACAAAATCCTAATGACATAATATCAGAGGTTCATTGGTTTCACTGAAAACAGATTATAGCTTTTTGGTGTTGTGTTTTGCCCACCTCCAATCAGCATGGTGCAGATGGAGAAAATCTTCTCAGAGTCTGTGTTGGCTGAAACGTTGCCAAAGCCCACACTGGTCAGACTGCTCAGAGCAAAGTACAGTGATGTCACATAGGAGCTCCTGACAGATGGGCCGCCGCTCAGTGTTGTCCCCGATCCGTTTGGTGTCCTCACTCTGGTCCTGCTACCGTTCCATTGGCCTGAACCCAGCAAACCCGCCACATTCAGCGGCTCTAACCCTGAGCCATTCCACTGGCTGTAATTGGTCAGTCCTGCTGTCATGGTGCCTTGAGGCGAATCAGAGACACCCAGCAGGGAGGTCAGCGGCGCCAGGATGTATGGCGTTCCCAAGCGTTTGGCCAGTTCATGTAGCCAGCCTGATGAGGGAAGAGGGGCAGTCCAGAAGAGTATGTCAGCTTAATGCAATACATTCATGCTTGTTCAAATACCTTTACTAGAAAGTTTCGTTAGCACAAGGCTGAAAGGCCCGAAGATTTATTTCAGTGTCGATGTTTGTGTATATGGGAGGAGTACAGGCCAGACAGTACAAGTTAGCGTTACTGATCATGGCAGCTTATATTTGTATTTTCTCAGTATATTCTTAATCGTTTAACCCCATTCAGACCTATGATGAAATGTTTATTGGTCTCAGCCAATTTCACTTTGGCCAAGTGACTAAACCAAAGGTTTTCAAAGTGAGAGGCGGGTCTCTAAACAGAGTTGCTAATAACATTCATGCTCCCCACAGTATGAACCTTTTTCATTTTGGACACTCTATGAGCTTTCCTCTAGCACCACCCTCAAGACAACATTTCCATTTGTGGACAGTATTGAAACCTACAGGGATCTCTTTTTCTAATGTGAATGTTGCTCTTACAAATTCCCATTTGAGGAACAGAAACACTGGAGTTGACTTGTAACAGTAAATGGATATCATTCATATAGCACTTTAAAGCTGAATAGGCCAAAGCAGTTTTAAAAGCCTCTGATTCACCCGTGCACACACTCATTAACCAAGAAAAATGGAGCGCTGCCCTGCTCATCTGAAGCTATTTAGATTTCAGCATTTTGCTCAATTACCAGCCAGTTTATGGACCACCTGAGCCATAGTTGCCCCTGTCCATTACAAGCATGTCCATGTTCAGTACATCTGTGTATCAGCGGAGACCTTTTCTTTATATTTTTCCTCCATTCTTACTCATCCCTGTTGTCCAGCCTTTTCTTGTCTCATCCCATGTTGCTGATTTAAATCATTTGAACAGGATAACCAGCATCACCTCATGCACCTCACAGTATTGTTGTTGTTTGGCACTGGTGAGCATAGTAGGAGGGGAGACAGATCACCATAATTAGATGTGTTTTCTCAGCAAAAATGACACACATACACACACACACACACACACACACACCGCACGCTGAGTGTCTGCTCTAGATCAGTTAAAATGAGACAGGTGATCTTTGTTTTGGTCTCCATCTTTGGTGTTAAGCTGTGCATTTGGAAAAAAAATCAAATTGACGACTGTGCATTTGTAACTGATGTTCAAGGTCCCTAGATGATAAATTACAATGACTTTGGTGATCCCCTGACTTTTCATCTAGCACCATCACCCATCATCATCAGGTGAAGATGTACTAGTTTTTTGTTTAGTGCTAACTGGCAAATGTTAAAATGCAAACCTCTGAACTAAAATGGTGAACATGGTAAACATACACCTGCTTAGCATAAGCATGTTATAATTTTCACTGTGGGTATGTTACCATGCTGATTTTAGCATTTAGCATCAAAGCACTGTTGCGCCTAAGTACAGCATCATAGATCTGCAATAAATGCAAGCATTTTGGCTAAGCATTACCAAAATCTTTACCTAAACATAACCAAAGTGTGTTAAGCTTCCTAATATTAGACATATTTTATAATAATCATACTGCTCTCAGGGAGCTTAGGAAGTCATGTGATTTGAGATTTGTCAAGTATTCCTTCATGGGATCCTTCGGTTGCTACTCCCGCTGCAATGTGACTCTGAATTTCTTAATGAATTGGGTTTACTTTTGGTAAAATTACCATTCGAGAACAGTGTTATTGGCATGAATCTAAGATGACCACAGGTGCTGTACTATTTAAAGGATGAAACACCAACCTAAAAGCCACTTTTCAAGCCTATGCAGGTGAGTAGGATACATAGTGGTTACAGTATCTCTTTGCAGTCAAAGTATTCTGCAATAATAGTCATTGCCATAATACATACATTTACAACAATAAATGCTGAAAAAATGAAAAAATATTGATTAATTATTACTTGTAATTTCTTAGAATTTAAATTTATGCAACACTGCCCCTCTTTTCATCAAATGAAAGCACAAAAATTATTCCATGAACAAACAAACAGACACAAACCTATATCCCAGGAGGTGGGGCTATTACTTTCAATCTCACTGCGTCCGATGAAGTACCAAACACAAGCCATCCAATGGCCCAGCAGGGCAAACGTGGACATGAGCAGGGTTAGGACCACAGCGCTATACTGGGAGTAACGATCCAGCTTCTGTAGGAGGCGCAAGAGGCGGAGGAGGCGCACTGTCTTCAGCAGGTGAACCCCGAAGTTCTAGGAGAGAGTAGTCATGCATTTCAAGGTATAAGTGCATCTAGCATCAGACATATAACAAGTTTAACTCTAATGGGATTAGTCACTCCTGGATAGATACAGTAAACTGTTTATAAATTAGATCATCATTTCATGTTTAAAATTAAAAGTTTCTCATCTGGAGCCAAAGGAAGTTTGTAATTAGAAATTACTCATGCACAATGAGAATTTCAATCAGCTATCTTGATAGCGCAGGTGATAGTGAGCTGTGTCACTGGGGAACCTGCCCTCCTGATCTCATTCACAGTGCAGAAAACCTTTTAAAAGTGGCTCCACATATTGTCCTGAACCTTCAGCTGCAGCTATTATCAGAGAAGCCATTCAGAAAAAATCACTGCCATTATCATCCTCAACTGTCCTATGGACATTGATTTTCTCCCTTAACCTCTGTATTAACTGTGGTTACACTTTCCTGTTCGTTTCGGTGCACAATAAGTGGTCTGTTAATTAAGTATTGATGCGTTACATCCAATTCTATAAGGATTTAATCCTCTGGAAATCTGGAAATGGATCAATTCAGGGAATTTAAATCTGTGCAGAACAAGCAGGTGTATACAATCTCTGCTTCACCCCAGTATTAATACCAAACACAAATAGCTGTTGTTTCTAAACACATGCGTAGTGCTGATTGATATCAGTCCAGAAAGATACTGTGTAATTTATAATATATTTCAAGAAGAGTTCTTCTTCTTGTTAAACCCATTACACCGACAACCAGCTCTACCCCATGACGATGCAATGAAACAGCTGCAAGCTCATCACATGACCTGTTATCGTTTCAGCTACAGCTGTGCATTTCATCCAAAATTTACGTGTAGTACGCTAGGGAATGTGTACACAACAGTATGTCATGTCAAGACTGTTGCTGGTTAAACATCAACAGTGTAACATAATTTGGTTTTAAAGAAACATTTTCCTTCTTCTTATTGCAACTGAACTCAGACTTTTCTGCTCTGTAGCAAAGTGATCCAGTATCTATCCTAATGTATCTGTTAAAACAGTCAGCAGCTTTTGCACTCAACATCTTGCTGCTAATCTACTTGCCTCCACCTGTAATTTGTCATCAGTGTACTAATTTATCAGCTTAATTACCAGTTACCTAATAATGAGTTTCTTGTCGAGGTTCAGTGTTCCTTCCTTGAAGCCACTATACAGCAAACACTGAGAGCAGGATTTCACAAAAATATGGAACAAAACGTAGTCTGTTGTCAGTTTTTTTGAGATAAAAAGCAAGTAGCTCTTCGTTTCCTTTGCCATGTCTTTGTATCAAAACAGATTTTGTGTGTGTGTGTGTGTTTATGGTGTGTTGTGCCTCGGTGTTCACTGTACATTTGCAGGCTCTTTCTTGGTCTTATTAAGTAAAGTGTGAGCTAGAGCAGAACAGCAGGAGAGTGCTATTGAAAAAAGAAAGACATATTACTATTACTACTGGCGGGGCCCATATAGCCTCTGCCTATACATCACACATACACATACCCACATAAATTGCAGCTAAAGACACACAAAAGTGCAAGCACAGTCAAACATGTGTGATTTAGCTGCACTTTCCCAACAGTCATGTACACACAAATGTGCACAAAACATATAACAAACAAAAAGGTACACTGTATAGCTGTATAGCTGTGTTCTGTATGTGTGGACAGAGTGTGTGTGTATTTGTGTGTGTGTGAGAAACCCACCACACTGATATTGAAGGCATAGAGCAGGTCAAAGGGCAAGGCGGCGATCAGATCCACAAACAGCCAGGATGTGACGTAGTGAATGCAGATGCAGCGGGGGTCGTACACGACCTGACCAGACGTGCTCACGTAGGTGGTTCGGAAGTTCAGCACAATATCTGGCACACAATATACATTTTAACATACCAGTGCTGCTTGGAAACACTCCAAACACTTACAATCTAACTCACTCTCTGTGCACCTGTCATCAGTATGCATATCTGGTAATTACAGTCAGTTTGGCAAGAGTGTAAAATACGTTTTTTACAACATTTTTAAATGAAAGCATCTGTTCAACATTTTGGAAAATATGCTTTTTTGTCACCTTTAGACTGAACCAGATTAGTTCTTTCCAACTGTTTCCAGTGTTTATGCTATGCTAAGCTAACAGGTTGTAACAGGCTTCATACAGTATTTATCTTACAGACATGAGAATTGTATTGATCTAAATCTCCCCAACTCTCTTCCTGAGGAACCAATAATTTCCTTTAAACTAATACCCCTTGAACCCAAATGTCCTCCCCGCTTAATGCTGAGTAGTACTAAAGGTCTCTGTAATAGTTTTAAGATAACCTGCCATGGTTTGGGGGTTTTGGTGTCTTTGGATTTTGTTGTTTTTGGTAGCCCTTCCACACGTGTCTAGGTGTGTTTGATTCCCTGTCTCTTTGTTGTGTCATCTCTGTAGTGTGTGTCCCTTTTCTTATTTGTTAATATGTCATGTTTTCTGTTTTACCCTGCAGTTTGGCTGCCACCAGTTTTGTAATATAGTTTTACTTCCTCTCCTTGTGTTGATAGTTTGTTGTTTACACCTGCCCTAATGTTGCTGCCTCGTTATCTCCACCCCCTTAGCTATTTAAGTATCTGCCTCAATTTGTCTAGTGGCTACTCCATTGTTTCTCCAGTGTTTCTCAGTTTTTTCTTCAGCATTTCTCCTGCCTTTATTGCTGTGTTTCGGACTTCAACCTGCTATCACCTGTACTGTATCACTAAATCTTACTTTCAGTGTCTGCATTTGGGTCCAAACCTTTATGCTCCGTGTTTGGACCATGGCAGAACACAACATAACCGACAGATATACTGACAGCACTGTGACAATACAATCCAGGTTGTTAAATATTTCCTTTAACAAGCCTTCCTCAAGTTGGATTAGTGGACTTCAGTGGTGCCAGAGGGGACACAGCAGGCTGAGATACAGTAGAGAAGTGCAGATTGTTGAGGAGGTTCAATTAGCATACAGCTCTTGGGTGTCAGGAGGAGGCCAATTAAGAGAGAAGGTTGGTTGTGGTGGTTTCAGACCTTATTTGGATTATACAAACCAGAAAGGTTGCCCCTTAAGCTTATATATTAGAATAACATAGAAACATATAAATGGACAGGAGCCAAGCTGATGCCAAAGCAAAAAACATGTAAAGAAAATTGTACAAAACATGTGAAAGCAGAATTACCAATGATAAAAAGTATCTCCACCAAGATATCGCTGACACTCGGAGGGTTACGTGAGCCGCCGTCCTCTCGTATCTCAGTGAAGCACACATTATAGGGAACAGTGACAGCGACGTAGAAGGTGGCCAACAAGATCAGCCAATCCCAGCCAGCCTTGAACGCACCATAGTGAAGGAGGACGAAGCGGGACTTCTGGATGTCCGCCACCTTGTACTCTGGGACCGGGTTTGCATTGGCCCCCAGAACACTCTTGATATAGCATGTGGAAACAGACACACACACAAATTGATCAATTCTTGATGAACAATACTATCTGTTATTATTATACCTTTGTTGAACTAGAATAAAAACCTAATTCAGATTAAAAATCTATTTTTCAAGGGTGTCCTGGCCAAGACAGGCAGCAACACAATTAACAAGTTTGCAAACATTAGAACATAAAACATAAAACAATTTACAATGGGAATGACTGGTAAGGTTAAAAGTAAGGTAAGTACAAGGTCACAAAATATCAACACTTTCAAGATTTAATTGGATGCATGCATGTATACAACATCGCCATAGTCCAGCATTGACATAAAAGTGGCAGCAGCAAGTCTCTCTTTGACCTCAAAGGAAAGACACGACTTGTTTCTAAAATAAATACCCAGTTTGTTTAACCTTTAAAAATATATCAGTCATGTCAGAATCCATCCAGTAATTCATCTTAATCCAAAATACAATGTGGCCCGGCCTGGTGATTAAACTGAGCATCAAGTTACCAGTTAGCTGATGCAAGAGGATGAAACGTTTCAACTGTGATATCTGATAGGCAGGCCCCCCCAACACATTCAAGTCAAGTCATTAATGAGAGCTTTTATGCGAATTTCTTTCCTCTTCGATCCTGAGTCATTACAATCACACTGCAAGGGTAGTTTTTGCACATTTCTCATCCCATTTGCTTGAAGTCAACAGTTTTCATCCTGTTGACTTAATGCAAATCAAGTTGACATCAGAAAATGTCAAGGTTGCTGATTCGGTGTTGGCCTGATGGTGGCACTTAAGCAAAAGTTGCTCGGGGTGTTTTGCTATTTGAAAAAAGAACAGTAGAAGACAGCAGGTCAAATGCTAAGTAGGACAAAAGGTACCACAGTAAAAGTGTCTCACATTGTTGATCTTCAGCTTGCTCTTGGTTTTGTCTTGTTTCTGTAGGTGTCCAGACAACTGGTAGAGGACGGCCCGACTGCGGCGGCGCTCCATGTTGAAGCCTGGAGGGCAGCTGATCTGGCGGACCTCCAGCCCGGTTTCCTCATCTGAAAACAAGGACTCAAAATCAGAGCGCGTGCACACAAGTGACAGGAACTGACATTGTATAGAGCTGTGGTTCCCAAACTTCATTTTTAGTTACTTGGTGACCGCTACCAAACCCCCTCCATTATGTCCCCTCACAGTTCATGTCGGCTGACAGAATTGTGCACCAGCTGCAAAGCCTCTATTGGATCATTTCATGTGAATTATAGTCGAAACAGAGAAGGCTCACTTTCTCTTTCTTTTTCATGCTTTCTCTCACCAGTGTCAGATTCATTGCCATGGTCCAGGTCCCTGTTTTCTGTGATGTCCTTATGTGAGACCAGGAACAAAACAACTTCGCTCTTCTCATTCTTTATGGGCACAATGTCCAGCAGACACCAGAACTTTGAGCCTGTTCAGAAAAAAGATATTTAAATGTTACCCTGCAATCCAAAAAAATATCAGGTTTGACTAAAAATACATAAAATAAAATATATGTTTGACTGACACTGCCGGTATTAAACATGATTACATTTGACAGTATCCTCCAGCCATCCGGTCTTACCACTCTTCTTGTACAGAATGATCTCAGTCTTGAACTCCCGACGTTCATCCAGAGCTTTCTGCATCTGCAAGGTGAGGTGGTCGCTGGTCTCGCTGCCGTACAGGAAGTGACACATGCAGCTCTTCTGCATCAGCTCGCCACGAGCAAAGCCGGTCAATTCACAGAAGCCATCGGAGCAGTAGACTATGGGATAGAGGGACTGGACCTGAGCGTTCCCCAGGACAAAGTTACTGTCTGGTCGGATGAAAGACAAGACACAAAAAAAGGAAACAGAACAGGGATAATAAAGCATGGTTAAGAAAGATGGCGAGCAGTCGGATGACCACAAAGATCAAGAGATGCTTGATGGTGTTTCAGAGAGAAACACTGTTTAATTGCATCAATATCAAATCAACCTTTTTCACTTTTGTAGTTTAAGGTTAATTTAAACACTAAAATCTCTGTTAACAGTGTCCTCTTCCTGTCCAGCTGCCAATACACGATGGCAGATGAGAGAAACCCTGAGTTGATAACAAGAGTCTAAAGTCATGATTTAAACCTAATGGGATTCATCCAAGCATCACTGGTTCCAGACTTCTGCCAAGCCACATTACGCTCTTGGGATGCCATACCAAAACAGGAAAGCACGGATGAGCGCCAAGCACAGGGAAAGCACACACACAAGCACACAGCGTGTACGCTTGTGTGGGTCGGATGAGAGGGGAGAGCCCTGTCACCTGACCCACACAGGCATACCCGACCCTCTGCTTCACATCACCAACGGCATTCAATCAGGGAGCCAGTTTATTGGCTAACAAATCCTTGTTGGTTAATGATCTGATAATTTAAAATAATTTGCATTTAGTGTTTTGAGTTGGGACCTGGCTGAACAGCACTACTGGTGTAGCTACACGCATAGAGGTTTGTCCTCCAAACTACACTTTTTATCAGTCAGGCAGAAACAGGGAAGGAGGAAGGATTGCAGTCATTTTCTCCACACAGTTTGTGTGTAATGACATTGACCTAGTTGAATTCACATCATCTGAATATCTTCATCTTCTTTTGAGCTCTAAGCAGAATTATCAGTGCCCACCATTACAAGATAGTCATCACTGTCTCTGCAGGAATTCTCCGAACTGATCTCACTTGCAATCACTAGATACAGTAGATTTATCATGAATAGACACCTGAATATTCATGTCACCAAAAATAATAACTCGAAAGCTGTGGAGCTGAATTTTTATGGACAGCTTTGAACATACTGAGCATGTAAATGAAGCCACTGATCAGCATGGTAACATTCTGGACATGGAAATAACAACAGGGTTAAACACTGGCCTATTTCTGACCATCCCTGTGTGTCTCTTGATGCCAACCTTATCTTAACAAAGACTAAAGGGGAATGAGTTTCATAGATGGTGAGGCTGAATCAAAGTTCTTTAATATTATGATATAATTTGAGTCAAACAGCTATTATAACAGCACTTAAAAGGACATGGTTGAAAACGTGAATCTGCTTTATATACTGTTAAAAAGAGGTCCACTGGCACAATCTCCCCATGGTAAACAAGTAACAAACATCTGCAGAGCAGCTGAAAGAAGATGGAGGAATGCATCAAACTGTGAAGAACTTGCATTGTTCTTCAGTACCAAAATAACTTCAATTAGAGCCAGTTTTGCTGCTGATGTAAAGCCAGATGACTTTAGCAAACCATGTCATAAAGGTGCAACCATGGGAAAATGCACTTGTATTGCAAAACCGTCACCTCATGTTGACCCTGTCCCTGCAGCATTTTTTAAGAGGGTGTTCAAAAGTGTTTCAAGTCATATCTTGATGATTATCAGTACACCTCTTCCAACAGGCAGCTTCCCAGATGCCTTCAAAACAGCTGTTGCAAAACTAAAGAAACCCAACCTAGACGGTAATGCACTGACCAGCTATAGGCCAATATCCAACCATCCATTTATTATTAAGATGCATAAAAATATAGTTTTCAGTGCATACCACAGCACTGAAACTGCTCTTAATAAAATAATCAGCGAACCCAGACTAAACTCTGATGACAATAAGGTCTCAAATCTTTTCCTCTTTGACCTCCTAGAAGTGTAACTTTTGATACGAATCACTATGATTTCTTAATCAGTTGGTCTTGCTGTTTTTATCAATGGAGTCTGGGGGCTTTGACGAAAGCGATAAAGTGACTGTCTCTGGTTTAAACAAAAAGGATCCTACTCTTTAAAAAAGGTCTCTCTCTGTAGTGATCCTTACCATAATGTTGTCAGATACCAATGTGAGTCTGTCAGTGGCAAAAACAAGCACTTTAGTGGACATTCTTTGACGGGGGCAATTGCCTGCAAGGATTACGTTGCAGCCTTGTTTTGCTGCTGCCAACTGAGAAAAATAATTTCTAATCTATTTTTTTTTACCGTATAAAATTTTCCTGAAACAACACTACTGTGGAATTCATAAGGCAGAAAAGGACACTAGCTTAATCTTTTTTTCAGCATAATTTATAATAAACTATCCTGTCCAATGAAATTAAATGTGATTTTAAACAGGGTTAGGGTAATAATAACACAACAGTATACATATACATTTCCAGTTATTTAGTGCTATTTGCTTAAGGTGAGACCCTACAGACAAAAACAAGCAAAGGTCAATTTTGAGATTTTGGGCCATTTTGCTTCCGTAATGTTTCAGACTTGTGGGAAAATGTTCAAAATACGTCTAGGTGTTTATTTTACTACACTTTCTCTGTAGTTTTCTCATAAATTCACCATGTGTGAAAGAGTGTTTGTGACTGTGTTACTGTGGCTCTGTTCAGCTGAAGGCCATACATGCTGTGTTAATCAGTTATTAGTTTTGATGTGTTTTAGATATTGTGGTCGGGCTTTCTGTTCTGCCGCTCCTCGTCTTTGGAATGCCGTCCCTGACCATCTGAGTTTAAAAAAGGACTTACAAAACATTTCTTGCTAGCAGAACCTTTGACTTTTAATTAACCTTGTTGATTGCTGCTTTTATGCTCACCTTTTTATGATTTTTATCTGTCTATTATGTCTTTACCTTGTGGCACTTTAAGATTTGCTTCAAATGTAAAATGTGTTACAAATAAAAAGTGTTGTTGTTGTTATTGTTGTTGTTATTTAGATTGTAATTTGATTATATGTTGTTCTGTAAAAAGTGGTTCCCAATAAAAAAAATATTAGAAATTAATAATACATGTCAATAGAGGCTGTTTTCTCAAAAAAAAGATTTTCTCATACCCTGAGCCAGAAATCTCCACTTCAGTAGCACTTACACACACCAACGTTTTATTCCTATCTGTATATTCTGATGGTTTTTATAGAGGGGTTTGTTCATATATCTTTCATAACCTGTAATAAAACAATTTATCCCAAAAAAAATAATTTTTTTATGGTGATGTAAAGAGATATCCATAATTCTCTCAGTAAAAACCTTTGTCTCTAATATGTCAACAAAACAAAGCAATAATTTTGAACCTGGTTCTATCCAATGTTATCCAGATTTCTGTTTGCGAAATGTATGCAAATTAGCCCATATTTAATTAGAGAATTTCTAATTTGCATTTAAACATAGTAGTGTAGTGTCTTGCCTCAACTGATGTAAATATACAACCTGAACATATAAATGCAGGGAATAGCTGTAATGCTGTCTTTTTTCTGTTACAATCCCTTAAAGCCTCATGGGAGGTGTCATTCTTAAATGCTTGCTAAATAATGACTCACAATAAAAACAAAGATGATCATGTGGCAGTGAACTGTGCAACTTTAAGTATGGCATTGTTACACGTTCACGTTACATGCTTTACTCAGCCATGGGGTCATCACCTACAATTTCACTAAGATGTCGTGTTAATTCAAAGAAAACGTGATTAAAATTTTATGCAGGGCTCTCTCTTTTTCACAGTGTTTGTTCTCACTTTATGTTCGCCTCTGCACTTTGAAAGGCGTCTGAATAATTCTGCTCACTTTGAAGAGTTCTCCTCAGGGGGGATTTAACGTGCCTGCTGCTTTTCAGTGATATTCATTTCATCTTCTTTTCTTCATCTACTGGCATTGTTCTTGTCAAATATTCTTTTTCTTTGTTTGTCCCATGCGTTGTACACCCCACTCATCTCTGCCTCTATGTCCTCTACAATATTTTCATCTTCAGAACCTTTTTGTTTTATCAGACATTATACAAAACCGTACAATGGATAAACTTGACTTCACTTTCCTGTAGAACTCAGACATGCCAGATTTGGATTGTTAATGTAATTTCTGCATGCTACTGTGCAGAACAGAAATAAAAAAAACAGCCACATACTGTATATTGTTGTGAACCAACAGTGTGGATTTGTGCATTTTATATCAAATAAATTGGACTACTCCAAATTCTTTCTCTCTCCTTGGGAGAAAGAAAAGGAGGGGTGAGATATCAACTCAACAGACAGCCGAAGCGACTCCAAGGAAGAGGTGAAAGGTTTCTCTCCCTAAGTGCTGTTTCTGGGCAGTCTGATCGTAAAACTGGCCACCTTTGGCAGCAGCCGTGATAAGCCTCGGCAACTGACTGTTAAAATGACAAAGGAACACTGACTAGAGATTAGTGTTTTCCTGAACAGCCTATCAAATCTCTTCGTAAGAGAGGGCAGGAAATCCTAAACTGCCCCCACCCACACACAAATAACCATGGCAACTGACTTTGCTTTTTGTTTAATTACCCCACATCAAAGGATATTCTCCTCTTCACGCCCAGGTGTGAGGAACTCCAGGACACCCAGGGACAGCCCTAAATTCCTTTGTGTAAACAGAGTACTGTCTCCTCAAGACTCAAAAATTACCTTGTTTAATTATATTTTTCAGTTACTCAACTAGGTCTCCCCATTCCATTTTAGTAGTTATGTTACCATGTTGTTGTTGTTGCTATTTGTTATTGAAAAGAATCTAAATAAGTTAATTTTGCAGTGTTGTAATTTTCAGCAAGGTCACCTGACTTTATTCATTTTATTTGTAACCAATGCTTTGTTCACAATACTTTCTGACACCTCCTTTAGAAATGATTTTTTTGATTTTTTTGATTTAAGGTTAAAAATGACTAAATTCCCCAGCTCCTGAGAAGATTGTTTTAGGATTAATCAGAGCTATCGTCATGTAACCCAAGCTCCCCCAAGTGGACAAAATAAGTATTACATGCCATCGTCTGAAATGCCGTTAATGTATAAATGTCACTCGGTATTTATCATGTCCAATAATCT